TTTGTGGATGAAGCATTGTGTCGGGATGCCCATGTAGTTTGCAGCACCGGTTGACATGGCACATAGGGTATGTTGGAGTGCCAGGAGGGAGGGCTCACAGATGGTGAACATTACATAATTGTAGCCCCAAGCGTAATTGAAGACGCTGTGGACCATGGAGTCTGTATTCAGGCTGAGTGCTGGGTGTGTTTATCTGAAATACCACATATTCTCAAGTGTGTAAAGTTCATTTGTTCAATTTGAGGGACAAAATAGAAAAGGTTTGTTTGTTTTTGACTGTACAGGGATGTCTCCTATCCTCTCTCTCTGCCTAGAAGGCCCATAGGTCACCCTCTGGATGGCCGTCATCACCATATTTGCATGTTTACTCTTGACATTTGTCCTCTTATCTGCATGGTCCAGACAAAACCCAGGCCCCTTACCTCAGTCTTTCAAAGCTGATATTTCAGCCAATGCACTGAGGAGTTTGGCTCACAGGCTTTAGCAGCTCGCTTACTTGTCACTGTTTTTCATTGTTCATTTAGACCATTGCTGTTCATTTCTGTGGTTCTTGTGCTTCAGATCAACTGTGTGACTTTCCCTCTGCCCGGAGAAGGTCCAGAGCAGCAGCTCCTAAAGCCCAATGAATGGAGCTACTGTGATTACTTCTGGGTGAGTTTTAACACGGGAGCTACTGTACAGTTATCCTTTGTGATATTTTGATCGTAATGAGAACGACTTTATATAGAAACCTGACTTATTTAGATAAAAACATCTCATCAACAAAAAAAAAGCGAACCAACATCCAAAAATCTTGAACATTACACAGCACAGGTACAGGCATCATCTGAAGCTGGTACCGTCTTGCTGTCCAAAAACCTCTAAAGCATTCAATCCTCTCTCTCCTGCTGTTACTACAAACACGCCTGAACTAACCACAGGCACTCGACTCGCCTCTTCTGTCAAGCCGCGATGTTTGGTCCAAAGCAACACTCCATAGTTACTCTGAGCTGACTTGATTTTTTAAAGCTCAAATACACAGTATCTGACTTGACACTTACTAATACAAATGTGCCTAACAACACAAGAAATATGGATTCTTCACATCAACTAGAAAATGTCCTTCAACGTAAATAACTTCCATTTAATGGATATGGTCTTACATTATCAGTGCACAGTATTTTTACCTCTCACAAGACCATGTCCGTAACAGAATGCTCTTGAGTTGTCGGTTGTCTCGAATGGCTGCATTGACATGGGAGGTTTTGGCATGTAATCATTCATCTTATCTGAAAACATTTTTTTTATTACAAAATTTGGAGAATTGCATGATTTTTCAAAGCACAAAAAGGGCTTATATAGCTAAAAGCGATGAGAGGTATTTTCTAGCCATGCACCTCGTGTAGTAACAGTGGACAGACAATGATAAAGCAGTTGGACCATTATATTTAGATTAACTTATTGCAGACACAGTATTGGTCTGTTGGTATATGTATGAACATCTATCAATATTTAACAAGAAACTGCTGTACAGAAAGATAGATTGTAAAAGATTGTTTGTCATTATTAGATTTTAAAAACGTTAAAATGTTTATATATCAGCCTCAAAAATCCAGGATCATTTGAACTAACAGGTAACACAATTGGAAGTAAGGATGGTGGATAAATGGACATTTTTGTCAGTTGTTGATGACTTTGTAATTGCTTAAGCCAAACCTCAGCCCTAAACTTTTTATTTTACTTAATTCATAGCTTTTTTCCATTTTTTCGTTCCTTCCAGTATGTAAACAAGCTCCACTATATTCCCGTCAACACATATTGTTGATATTGAGAACATGTTTATGTTGGTAAATGTAAAAAGCATTTAAACGCTAAATGTTTACTTCACATTGTATTAAAAAACATGGCTTTGCACTAACAGAAAGCAGTCAATATGCTTTTTGCTAACTGCAAATGGAGCCACCCCTCTTCTGATCGACCAGCTCCTCTGCGAACACACTGATCATTTTATAATGTCTCCCCAGTGGCCCGTGTGATCTTCACTTTCCATACATTTCCATCCAAAATTAGGTTTGTATTGAAAAATCATTAGGCGGCATAATTGGCTGAAATCTGATGCCTGGTTCCTCCTCGTTTACGGCAGTTTGGCTCCTTGTTTGCGGCCTGTTGTGTCATGTTGCTCGTGATGTTTTGTATGTGCACGGACCTGCTGCACGAACCTGCTGTGTCAAAAAAAATCTGGGACCTCAGTTCCTCATGGCCACGCACATTGCTCCTGTCAACAAGACACAGTGCTGCACATCACGAAACCCTGGTTGACAAAAACACACACACAATACTCATCCACCCATCAGTGAGTGACGCACGCGCGCCAACGCATACAGTCCTCAACATGCAAGTATGACTCACATATTTCATGCTCATTGTTTCTGACTCACCACCCAGAGCCCATTCTCACAAACCCCATACATGCTCTCAAATGTAAACAACAAAGAGGCACTACACGATGCTCTGCCCGTGAACTTAAAGCTGTGGTTGTTTATAGCTCCACTACTGTCTTTGAATGATGCTCTCCTCTTCTTCAGACTGACAAGAAAGACCCCCAGGGCACCACCTCTGTGGCAGGATTCGAGGTTCTTCTGCAGAAACAGCTGAAGGGAAAGCAGATGCAGAAAGAGATGGCTGAGTTTATCCATGAGAGGTAGCAGCTTTAAAGTCAGATAAGATTCAGCTCCACTTTTTTTTAACAAAACAGAGAAATGTGGCTTGTTGACAGCAGTTTTAATAAAATAACTGACAAGATAGAGAAACACAGAGCTGCTCTGGACAAAAATATCTTTTTATATGCAATTATGCTAAAGACCTCATCTCTTAAAAGACAAGGCTGGTGATGTATTTATTTCCTTGTAAATTAAAGATGGTTTTAAGGAGCTCATTCACCTACACTTTATTCATTTATTTATACACATGTACTATTGAAAGTCCATTTTGTTGTGTGAAACCACGTCTGATAGTGTCACAAATATACACCGATCAGCCATAACATTATGACCATTAACAGGTGAAGTAAATAACACTGACTATCTCTTGTCCTCACCACCACAGTTTTCATTTCATTTCATTTTTTTCACTGAATGGCCGACACACATTTGCTCTTCCTGACAGTAGAATTATGGAGGCAAATGGCTGCACAGTGAGCTGCAGGGTGGCACGAGCACCAGCCGACTGCTGCATTGACTCTGTGTACACTGTACTAGGCAGGTAGTCGCAATGTTATGGCTGATCTCTATAACACCTCTTGATATTTGTCTCATTCACATCATTGACCTCTTTAGACAGAGTGGGCAGGTCCAAAGCCTTTTTAGATTTTAGTAGAAAAGGCTTCATTTCTAAAGGGATCTGTAGGATGCTGTCCTCAGACTTTTGTTTTAGTAGTGAGGTTTGTAATTTATGCTTGCACCCAGTAATTAAGGGAGCTATAGATCTCAGCTAAGCAACTGCACATACAGCAAGTTGCCTGGTCTCCACTGAACCAGGACCAGGATGTCAAAGGCAACACAGATAATAGGGTCTCTATATAATGAGCTCCACCTTATCCTACAAAAGCTCTTTTGACATCCCTGTCTGAGTTGTGGGGAGTTAATGAAGTTTCCCCTCAGATTACACTGTTACGTTTGACCCCAGAGACCATCTCCCAAATCCTTTTAGAAGATTTCTATTCAGTGCTGACCTTTTTCTGTGTTGTATCACTGGGCTGCTCCATGTTGCAAGTATCCAAACATTAGTTCAGAGAACGAGCTTGGAGACCTTCTTTGACAGATTTACTCGAGCGTGGATGGTAAATGTGAGGCCAGTGTAGGACGTGAATATCACAAAAGGCACACATATGGCTACCCTGGTTGACTTTCCCTTAAGACAAGCACATCTCATTTCCAGCTCTAAGATGGAAACGGAAATGAAATAGTCGCTCTGAAAATAAGCCGTTCTGCAAAACTGCTGGAGATTTAATCACAAGCGCAATGAGATTGTTGACGTGCATGGGTCAGGGCTGTGTGTGCCATTTGGTTTTTAGCTTTTGAAGCAAACTATAGTAGAAAATTTCTGGTGCACTGCCCCCCCACCCCGTGAAATTGTGTGTTTAAGCATTTTTTTTTTCACGCTAGACTAAAGCAGTTTCTGTCCTCGCTTAAGGCAGACAGCTTTTCACATTTTGCTGCTTGTGTTTCAGGATAAAGATTGAGGAGGAATATGCCAAGAACCTCTCCAAGCTGTCTCTCAGCCCCTTGGCAGCACAGGAGGAAGGGTGAGTGCAGTAAACAAAAGCTGTAAGACAAAACATTGTGTGCAGCTCAAAGCTCCCTCTGCAAAACAGGAGATGGTATCAGTATTTAACCAAACTGTATCTAAAGACAGGATATTTTAAAATACTTATTCATGTTCTCATTCTTGTGTCTGCATCATTCAAAGATGGATAACTCATGGAAGAGTGGATGTTTTTCATGTCTGCCAGTAATATGCAGAGAGTAGAGACCTGAAGCGTGTCACTTCTTTTAGCCAACTTTTTCATTTTCTTGTCTTTAACCAAATTTGAGAAACTTTCATTTTACAATACAAAGGTAAAATCGTGACCATGTTAGATCACTGACGTAACAAAACAAACTCATTACACTACACATGCAAAAGGATACAGACAAACAAATGAGTCCTTTGGCTGCTTTTAATCCTTTCCATCTCAAAAAGCCAAACTGATGTTGACCCTGATAAAGGACGTGACCTCTGGTCTGGCAGCCACTGCTTCAGACTTTTAGCTGCCGATAGCTCCTCTATAGCTGGCTGTTTGAAATAACATTAGTAGGTGGCTGGTGGGGCTAGTTTACAGACCGTATTTTGACAACACAGGATAGAGAAGCTGGAATAACAACAGAAGAGCTGTAGTGTCATGGAGGGGGGGCTGTATAGCAGAGGGACCCTATGTCTCATCACTTTATTTATCACAATATGTAAAATCTTGGTTAATGCACCTTTAAACCAGACAGCACTCGGATAGCGCAAACCTCCACCAAGGCAGCTTTGTTTCCATGTAATGCTATTCCAGCTAAGAGAAACGTTCCCATGAAAGTTTGACCCTCATTTTACTATATGATTCCCGTTCCTTGACCATGAAGACCTTCCCCTAGTATTTGGAATCACATTGATGATATCATTAGTTTGAAAGTTATTCATGAAAAACAATATTTTACTAATGGCGGTTTTCTGCAGGATCTAGTTCGGCAACTGTTGAAGATGCATCAAATCTATTTTACTGAGTCATAAGAGTTTCAGCGAGAATTTGATCATAGTTGTAAGTCTGTTGTCTCACAGCAGTGAGTTTTTTATGAGCCCTGTAAATGTGAACATTCTGGATCAGCAGATCCTGAATATGACTTAGATCATATTTTGGTGTGTGGTAGATCTTATGTGGATGTTACCGTGCAGTTTTTGTCCAGGCTATGGAGTTAAAGGCAAAACTATTGAAATTGGCCCTGTTTCACAATGGTGAAGAAGCTATAAAAAAAAATTCCTGGATCCAGATGATGATCTGAACCAGCACCAAAACCTAATGGATTGTTCACCTCTGCAAAACGTTTCCTCCAAATCCATTAATTACTTTTTGAGTTATGCTGTGAACAAACCAAGAAATGCTGGTTAAAACATAACCTCCTTGGAGGAGGTGATTAATCATAAAAGGAGTAGCCTGCCTGCTGTTTTACTTTTGAGGCAGAGAAACATTCATCTCACTTTTGGGAACCTTACTCTCTTCCTGCTGGCTGACAGAGCAGAGGTCCTCATACAGTACATGGGCTCCACTGTTTGTTACTCGTTCCGTAGTGTCGTTTATTTCACATCAATTTTTTTTCTCAGGACTCTCGGAGAAGCCTGGACTCAAATGAAGAAGAGTCTCCATGATGAGGCTGAGGTCCACCTAAAGTTCTCCAACAAGGTAATATGTAATGTTTTTAAAAGATGTATTTATTACAGCTTAATAGAGCTGAAAACCACTAGTCTATTAATGGATTAGTTGACTGACTGGATAGATTTGTTTTGAATAAAAAGTTTTATTTTGATTATCAATCAATGGATTTAATGCCTTTTTCAAGCAAAAATTCTAAACATGCTTTTACATGAGTGGGACTGTTTTTCTTTATTATTTATGCTTGTAAAGTGAAAATCTTTGTTTCAAACTGATGGTCAAATAAGTGAACAAATATAGAGGGTGCCACCTTCTGATCTGGGAAATAATATATTTTTAAACAAAATGATTAATCAAATTGTAGAGATTTTTATGAAAAAAAAAAACATATCTAATGACTTCAGTTAACTTATTTTTGTTTATTTTTCTTACTTAACACAGACAGTGCACAATATTAAAAAGAGAAGAGAATATTAATGTTAATTAAAACACTATATGAGGCAACAGTACACACTGTCAGGTGTTATTTAAAACATAAAACACAGAAGCACATAATATAAGACATACAAAGCAATGACATGGGGAATATTGCCGTTAATAGAAAGATGGACTATAATGTGCAGCATCAAAAGACACTCATTGAAACACAAAATACACACAGTACATAAAATAAAACACTGGCACAGTAAAATCCTTGATAACCTATGTAGTTACCTCAGGATATTTCTCTGAACTGTAAACATCTGGACTCTCATCTCTGTGTGGTTGCCTTTGGCTTGTAGCTTTCTGCTCCTTCAGGTCACACTTTTAATGTTTTCAATCAACTGAAGTAATGGGTACTTGATCTGACCATAACCTGAGGTGACAGGACTTTTTTTTTTACCTCAACCATGTCGCTGCTAACTGAAGAAAATGACCCGCCAGCGATCCGATTGCCGGTGAAGCAGAAACTACACACTGGCCTCAGATGCAGCCTTAAATAAGGCCGAGGCAGCCTCGGAGCTTCCCATAGCCTTCTGTTGTCTAATTAATTAGTTGTGTGTTGTGACAAGTCCCCACCCAGGGCCATGCAGACTCTTTCTTGCTCCACTAGCACTCTGACACTCCATGCCTCAGTGTACAGGGCAGAGGAGAAGGTATCGCACGGTCAGGCAGGGAATGATTCAGCCTTGAGACGTCCCAGCTCATTGTTTTCTCTGAGCTTCTAATAAGCTGCCTTTCATCTATAGCTGCTATTTTAACAATTGGTAATTGACAGATTAACTTATAATGAAATGAATGTTGTTAGTTGCAGCTTTAAAAAGAATTCCCAGCAGAATTAAACACACAATCAGAAATTAGTGTTCACACATGTTTGTTTTTTTCAAATGAAACAACATGCATTCACCTGTGAAATTTATACTTGCTTACTATACACACACTATTATACCTGGAGTATATGTCAGTGTATATATATTCATGTACAGTACATACACACAAAGCACGTGCATGCACATGTGCACAGTCTGTCTCATCTTTCCTGCTATTTTTATCATAAGTCTGTTTTATCCATACACTTGTTTAACTGTGTTAACCTTGATTTAAAAGCCTAACCAGGAACATAGGCTGCAAAATTAGCTTCAGCATTACGCCCTATATGCATTGCATCTCTGACAGAGAGAATGTTACCAAACCATGTTGTACCTTACCAATGGCCAGGAGCTTTGTTTTTCCCAGCTCCACTCTGAGGTGGAGAAACCCTTGCTGACGTTCAGAGGTGACAACTTCAAAAAGGACCTGAAAAAGTACGACCATCACATCGCCGACCTCAGGAAACAACTGGCAAGCCGCTATGCAAGCGTGGAGAAGGTACTGAGTCCACAGATATTAATGAGGTTTTTGAGGTATCAGCCAGTTTACCTGCAGTACAAAATGACACTGTTTACTTACTGGCAAATGCTTCCTTCCAAATGTGTGCAAATTTCTAAAAGTGAGCCTCCAGTGTTAATAATGAAAAGTAATCCAGTAACTCCTACACTTAGGACATCTTGGTACGGTACAGTGCTTTCTCGCTGCTTCACACCTGTGAAATCAGAATGAAGTCAGTTCCTCTGTATTCGCACAGGCAGTTTTTGCTTTTATTTTTGGCTGTTGTCTGGTGGAACAAAGGCATGTCTATCTGTTTAGCATTTATTTAAACATTTCATAAATGGATTATAATGTGCTACCTTGTATATTATAGTTGTAAGTAGATGTGTTTATTAATGTATTTGTCAGAAACTTCAACTCCTCCACTGAAACAGCCATAAGTGGAGGCTGCTGTATAAATAAATATGCATAATAAATCAGATAAGGAATGACAATATAGTAAAACCATTTTAAAAAGCTAAATGTTTTTATAGTTCCATGTTTCGGAAGTGTGAAAATTTGTTGCTTTTTTTTTTTGGTCTTATATTATAGTCAATTATATATTTTTGGGTTTTGGACTAGTTGAACTGAACATTCGATGATGTCGCCGTCAGCCCTGGTATAATCTAATGTGTTTACTGTTTTCCGACCAAACGATTGATTAATTAACTGTGACAATATCACCAGATTTTTCAATAATTAAACTAACCGCTTTTTGGGACTCTGTTATATGCTTAAGAGACGATCTTTAACTGTTGTCTGAAATGTTAAATCCAGTTTGCTGTGGTATTCACACTCCCTGTCTGCAGTTTTTACATCTTTTCTTGTTCAGTGATCACTGAAGTAATTTCAACTATGGAACAGATTTCTGGCCAAAAACAAACTTTAACAACAAACAAACCTGATCAGTGGGTTTACCACATTTTCTTCTCATTGTTGTCCGTTGAAAAAGAGAATTTCTTTGCTTATATATCACTATTACTGCATGTGTAACTTTCAAACAACATGACCTTGGTGAATTTGTGTATGAGCGTGGTGTAGAGAATAAGACGAAAGAGTCAATGATATGGATTAAGAAAAGATAAAAGGATGAGATCAGGGTCTGAGCACGCATGTCAGTAATTACTTTTGCGGTAATGACTTTTGTAATGGACGTAGGCACAGCAGATCTGAGCATTATGATCATGAATGGCTCATTGTTTCAACTTTCACACGTGATGCATGTCTGTGTGTGTGTATGTGCGACAGGCCCGTAAAGCCCTAGCAGACAGGCAGAAAGATCTGGAGGTGAAGACCCAGCAGCTGGAGGTCAAACTCAGCAACAAGACGGAAGAGGACATAAAGAAGGCCCGACGGAAATCCACACAAGCAGGTCAGAGGTTGCAGAGGCAGAGCTCAAATAAGAGACAGTCACAGAAGTGCAGATGTCTGGATGGAAATGTTGAACAGTCTTTAAAAGCACTCGCTATAGAACAGCCTGAAAAGGTTGTTTTTTTTTTTTGCTACAGATTTGTGCCTAACTAACTGGCTGTAGTTTCACTTGTTGGATAAAGGTTTGCATATCGATGTCTCCTGTACTGAAGAATGAGCAACAGAGCTGCTGCACATTATATAACTGTGATAACAAAAGGGCATGCACCTCCCCAAAACAAACTTATTTGCATCAAGTGCCTATACACCAAGGAATAATCCTAGAAGGATAAAAAAATTATAGCATGCACACTGATGCACCACAAAAATGTTTTTATCCAAGCCAAGTTACCATAATACTAAATGTCAATTGTGTTGTACTCTTTATGCTTTATTTAAATCCATTTATGTTTGTGTTACTGGCTGTGCATTTTACTGACATTTTCTCAAAAGTGATATAACATTAGATTATCGAATCAAATATCCTACAGACTGTGTGTATATTACTAATATTTCAAAGTGAAGGTGACAGAAACTAGAAGCACAACAAAAGGCAGAAATGCTACCTGAGATCCACTGTGTTTGACATTTTAATATGAAAGAGGAAGAGTTGATGTTTTTGTCATTCTCAGCTGCAGTTCTGTTCTGTAGAATAGAAAAATGCACAGTGAGAACTTATGTGGCTCCTTGTCTTCTTCCACTGAGTAGATTAGCCACAGTCCACAGCACTAATCAATAGTGCTCATGAGGTGCAGGTAAATTCATGTCAGCCCTGTACTGGTGATCGCTGCTGCTGCCTCGAGGCTGGGCCAGATGTCATTACAGGTCATTGCGCTTGTGCCAGAGACGGGTTCTGTTGTTATCCTCACTGAAGGAACTTTAATAAGCTTCAGTGATGGTGTATTTTTTTACTATTTGACATTTATTTGTTTTAATTCATTACAGTTAAATATTCTGTACACAACACAAGAAAACGTTGCCAGTTTCTTCAATTGTACAAATGTATTATTTCACATTCAAAAAGCCATGATAACAGCAGATACAGATGTCCATATTGCACACAGATTCCTCATTGAATCATTGAGGAGTGGTTTCCTGAGCGCCTCCTGCTGACTGCAGGTTATACTACCACTAATAACAGATGTGCTCAGACAGTGGAAACTGAACGTTCTGTGCTTGTCTTTCTCACCCAGGAGACGACCTGATGCGCTGTGTGGATCTGTACAACCAAACCCAGTCCAAGTGGTTTGAAGAGATGGTCACTACCAGCATGGTAAACCCCGCTCTGCTGAACACAGACAAGAGTGCTGCAGTTTTGTTTTCATTACTTAATTTTACTGTGAACACTTTAGGAGCTAGAGAAGCTGGAGGTTGAACGGATCGAGTGGATTCAGCAGCATTTACGCCAGTATACGACTCTGAGACACGAAACAGACATGTTCAATCAGAGTGTGAGTTTGTATTTCTTTATCTTGCTATTTGCTCTACACACACTATGCTGTTACTGCAAATATGTGCTCTGATATTCTTCAATGTGCTTTTGTTTTTAAAAAAAATATTTTTAACAGGCAAAAACCTCAGGTCTGTCAGTGGCAAAAAGACTGCAGATTATGTAGACTAACATTGTCTTTACATCCTTACTGATTCTTTAATCCATCCTTAATTCTCATACAGTAACAAATGCAGCATGATAAAATAAATCCTTGCACCTTCTCAGCTGCTTTATTTCTGGAAACTCAACTTTGCTTAGTCCTACAAAGTTGACTGATCCAGACTTTATTCTCTGCTTTATTTCCTTGATTTTTTGCTCCCTACATATTGTTTTTTGTTTTTTTGTATTTTTCAGGCCGATATATGTAAATCTAAAAAAAATCTAGATTTATAGTAACTTTCACATCCCATAAATTAAAATCATTATATGAGACTAACACTAAGATGTTGGCTTAATAATAATAAATGAACAAATGTTTGATGGGATCATATTTTGCAGACGGTGGAGCCAGTCGACCAGCTGCTGCAGAACGTGGATCCAGCCAAAGACAGAGAGCTGTGGGTGAAGGAGAATAAAACTGGCGAGGTTCGACCTGTGGATATGGACATATAGACTATCCTGAGCTGGGATCAGCCGTTGTGTCTTCAGTATTATGACATGTCCACACAGTCCCAGAATACTTCTGGTTACACTGATCTAGGGACAGCGCATGTTCTGACTCCTGAGGTCTGCTCGTTCTCTCTCTGATGGAACGAACAGGAGGAAAGGTTCAGGAAACAGTAACGGTTGAAGTACCAGCATGTTCCTTCTAAATTTAAACCCTATCATAATAAACATTAGCTTACTGAATGCTGTTTAACATGTTCTGCTGTTTACCTGTTGTAAAGTTGAGACCATTACAAAAATATATGTTTTTTGAAATGTTGAGTTTCATTCAACACTTCTCCAATTTCAGTGCATCAAACAGAAGTCTGATTATTGATACTACCTTTATTTTAGATACTGGATCATACCAAGATCTTAGAATGAATATGATATATTTTCATATTTTGCTGGTTCATTCTGGTGAAAATGCATGTTTTGAATATCTTTTACTGTGTATGGAGAACTGCACAGTTTGTGGAACCACGGTGATTGTTTTGGTATAGTTCATTGGATTTACAGGTATTCTGTATCTTGAGTCAATTTAAGAGATTTGTCAAAAAAAATTAGACAATGTGCACAGTGTTAATATCCAGTAACCTCAGATGTTTAAAACACACTCACACACACGCAGTGCTTTGGAATGTTAATTTGATCCCGCTCACCACAAGTCCCAACATGTGGTTGGTCAAATTTAGGTCAGGGTCTGTTGTGGAACAGTTCAGTGGAAAAAGGTGGTCTAAGTTACACGGAAACACCTTTTAGTGCCTAACGGTTATATACCTGGAATGTCCTTGATGTATTCTACTCTGCATTGAGTGTATATTTGTACATACAGGCTAGATGTATTTTACTGTCAGATGTTTAACAAGCCCTCCATCTTTGGGCTCATGAGGTGTTTGTACTGTACAATGTTGTTTTGGTTTATTTTCAGTAAGCGTAAAAGGTGGTGACATGCAGCAGAAAGCAACATTTACCAAATCACAGATGAGGTAGGAAGCCACAGATATGGATAGAGCCAGCAGAGCTGAAGCCAACTGACTCATAC